GCATTGCATTTTTTTGGCTACCTTATGAGTACTTTTTTGTAGATGCCATTGGACGAGTAGTGGCCTGTTCAGAACAAAAAATGAGAATTGTTAATGGGGAGGTGAAAAACGTCATGGATATTACTCTAGAAGACAACGAGTATGAGAGTTCAAATATTCATTATTCTTACGAATAAGCTTTTTGTGATAAAGACTGACAATTTGCATCTAAATGACAGGGGTTTCCAACTCCGATGCACATTATGGGGAGAATATGTGGCGCATATGGTGGATCAAGTTGGATTGGGTTTGAATGAACCATTAATTGTACTTATTCAATTGTGCAGGGTCAAGCCATATCTAGGTATGGACTATGTATTACAAACATCTTACTTAATGTTACCAGTAAAATATGGTTGAAAACTCATTATCTAATAGTATTGTATACTCCCAAGTGAGATGTGCATTTCAACGGCATTTCACGCAACAAGGTTGATTTTTGACAATGAAAATGCTTCCATTCGAGATTTTAAAAACAAGTATGTGTAAAGAATATGAGTCTACATAAAAAACAGCATGTCACTTATAAGTGTAATTGTATATAAGAACCAAAACTCTTTTTATATTTGCACTATATTATAATTACTTTGTAGGATGAAGACATCAACTGGCAGTATAACTTTGAGCTGTGGGAATTCTCAAAGCCAGTCAGAGAGCAGCATGTCTCAGGAAATACAAAGTGGCAGATTGGAAGTATTAAGCATTGAGGAATTACTTTCAAGAAATGAAGTAAGATTATACAAACAGTTTGGATAATATTGTTATCTTGCAATCGAAAAAGAACAATACATTGGAATGACAAGCATTGTAGAATGAATACTTATCAAAAAAATGTATATACATATAACAGGCAGGGCATTACTGGATTTTGGCTACGATTGTGGATATCAAAAATTACAAGAATTGGTTTTACTTGGGCTGTGCATCATGCAACAAAAAGGTCAATAAAGAGGAATCGCGATTTCGTTGTTCTGGGTGTAACAAGATAACAGCAGAAGGAAACTACAGGTTTGGATGATTCTTAAATTTTTAGTATCTCTGACCTTAAAACAAAGCAACATATTATAATGAGTTGATCTATACTTATAGGTATAGGATCAATGTGTTGGTTATGGACCCTACCGACTACACCACCATAACACTTTGGGATAGAGAATGCACCGACTTGCTAGGAAGGTCGACAAGTGGAATGAGAGACCTCATGGCTGAGGTATAGATACCTAAACATATTTTGTATAAATATTTTGTATATACTGTAAGCATTAAACTTGAAGAACATTAAAAACATTGAATTTTTTTACAGCGTACGGGAAACGCAGATTCCATCCCATTGCCAGAAATTGAGAGTTTGATCCAGAGAAAGGGTCTTTTCCGAGTAAGTGTAAAACCAAAGTCAGAAGATTTTTTTCTCGAGGCTAAGTCATTTGGTGTTACGGCAATGATTTCTGACCCCAATATATGGAAGTTGTACGATACCCACGATGGGGAGGACATGAAATTAGGCTTTTGGGACGAAGAAGAAGTTATTGTTGAAAATGAAGAGGTATAATAAAACAACCGATTGATTATATCTAAAACATAAGTGTGTGTGTGTATTAACGTAGTTTGTTTTTCATTTCAGGTCAAAATTCCCGATGAGATACCCTCGGCGAGCAGCTGTCTTGGTGGAAAACGCAAGCATGAGATTTATAAGGAAGCCGATGACCCTACTAAGAGGGATCTAGATGAGGAATTTGGCGCCACAAAAGAGCTCCTTAAAATGAAGGCCATTAAAACTGAGAAATAGAGAATGGGTCAAATTTTATCAATTTGAACATGCTTTAATTTATATTCGCGTAATCTTTGTGTTGTTTTGTTTGAGACTCATATGTTTTTCAGACTTTTGAATGTTTTTGTTTTTTCAATTAAATGGTGTTGTGTGGTCTTTCCATGTTAAGATTGAAAAATGGATTTATGATTATATTTTATTAATTCAATGTTTACGGTGAAGAATATAATTCCATGGGATATTCTCCATGGATGATGCGTTTCATAGAATACAATTGAATCACCATGTAAACACGAGTCACGTAGACGGAAGTTTCATGTTGAAAAAATTATTTTTAAAAAATACCTAAATGATTTCATTGAAAAATAAATTTAAAACGAATACCAAAATGCTTTTTTTGGAAACTGATTTTTTTTAAATAAAAATTAAAATAAAGATCCATTTGTGGAGAAACGAACACACAAACATCAGCCTAAGAGAGAGATCTTATTTCGATGGGTGAAATCAGAATTTCATTTGAAAAATCTCTTAAAAAGAAGTTATCTGAGAAATAAAATCCAATATTCACTTTTGAAAATGGACAAAAAGTTTAAAAATAAATGGGCTATTTACAGTATAGACACTCTATACGAAAAAAACACAGTTTAGAAGGGGATGTTTTTAAAGTAGAATAAGAATTTAGAGGGGAGCAAATTCTGGAACTCAGTTTTAAAAATTAGGATAAAACGTGTAATATTCCAAGGGAACACATAAAAAAAATTAGGACAATTATATTAAGGTTCATTAAGAGATTTGTATATAGTAAGATTGTGCAGGATTATATTAAGAGAACCTCTCTATTAGCAGAACAAGTCTGTGTCGTATATTAATATATACATTATATATATATACACACACACACACACACATGTTTTGGTCATAAACTTACTTTTTAGGGTATGTTTTTTATCGAATTTTTAAATTCTGCCAATTATCTATTATAAAGTGCCATATAAAAAATGTCAAATGAAGACACACACAGTTGGGCCATTAAATAATGAATAATCTGTTTTTAAATTTTATCTCAAGAAAAAATCTAATAAAATAATATAATTTATAAGATCCTATTTACAAAACACAAGAATATTGTCTCTTAATAATTTAATAAAACAACAGCTGAGTTCCATTTACAAAAATCCATGGGAACACACACATGGGATGCTACGTAATAATAGCCTCTTTGTATTATACATTTTTATATCATTTAGTATATCATACCATAAACACATAATAGTTTGTTTATATATATGTGTGCACATATACATTTAAATATATATCTTTGTGTGTGTGTGTGTGTATATATACATACATACATACATACATACATACATACATTTGAGAGTATATATACACAAGCACTTTGCAAATTCAAAGTCGTGATGAAGTTAGTCTGCAAGTCTCATGTACGTAAAAAAACTTATATTCATAAATCTGTTGGTGTTTATACTTCTTATTTTTAAAAAAAGCATGTTTCCTAATTTATATTGCATTTTCTTCTGTAAGGTGAAGATACAGAGGTTCTGTTAATCACAACAATATTACAGCCTCGGATTCATGAAGAAGCTAACAAAAGGTGGGACTTTTAAAAGCAAGTTATCGAATGCTACATGTACAGATTCAGGGATAAACAGACAAGGTACCTATCTTGCTTTATGTTGGATAATTTTGATAAAACATTTGAGTACTGAGAAAATTTTAAAATTTATTTGTGTAGCATTGTAATTGAACTTAAAAAAGAGAGTCAATATGAAATGTTATAACATTTATAAATTTAGATTGTATCATACCTTTGGGTGGAAAATATTAAATATGTACTCTTCCATACATGTTTGAAGCCTGAAAGAATTAAACAAATTTAGTACATCATTTAAAACTGAATGTACACGGTGTAGTAAATATTTCGGACACTGA